CAGAGTAAATTAATTGTTATCAATTGTATAAGTTAACTCCGCCTGTAGCTCCTCTGGGGGTTACTGCCGGTCCCAAGCCCGGGTAAAGGAGGAGGGTTGGGCATGGGGTTAGCGACCCCATCCCGTAGAAAATCAATTCGCTAAAAAAACGCTAACCAGAAAAAATCATTCAAAATTATATAAGTTATCTTTTTGATCAAAGTGAATTAGTTCTTATAAATATGAGTAGCACCGGTTGATTTAACATTGTACTCTAGTGTGATTTTTTACGTGTATGAATGTATGTATTAGGCTGTGAGCCATATTGTGTGATGTCTAGTAGTACACCTCGGTTTCTCAATTCTGAGTAAATGAAAAGCGGTTTAAACTAACACTCCAAGAGCTTCAACATCCAGGTCACTGTCAATTATTGTATTAAAAAGACACCGTTTCGGGCTTCGCAATTTTTTCTACTTTAGATAAAAATAGCGTGTATAGAAGAAGGATTATTTACACCTTCTCTTAATTACAAAACAATATTCATCTCTATCATGCATTGCAATCAAGATCCAGCAGAGTTCTAAAATATACACCTTATTGAATGGGTTAATTTTACTCATCCAATTTGTAAAAGGTGTTTAATTCAAATGATAACTCTAAACGTAGAAAGAAGTTTAGACCAACTGAAATCATGTGGTATAAATAGCGAAAACTTGAAAGATTTAGACTTGTTTTATCAATCGTCAGATATTCACATTTTCAAACATATAGTGAATCACAATCAAGATGATAATAGATTTATTTATGTTATATCCCAATTGTGTTTCTGACGTTTCATGACTTGATGTAAGCCACTTCTTCAGAGTAAATAAATAAACGACATTAAATTAACACAAGTTCAAATAGTGCTATTTAAACTTGCGTCGATTCAATCCTCTACCCAATGCACCATTTATTTGAAACTATCATGTCCAAACTTGATATAGACACCTAAAATCAGGATAACTTACTGAAAAATATTATCCTTTAAATTTATACACTGTTTGGTTAGTGTTATTAGAAATTTTCAGTTGTAACTATTGTGTATAAACAGAATGTGCTTTGGAAGCTTCCATCTACTTAGATTTATAACTTTGTACGATACATTTACTTACTTAATTTGTTTATTCTGGTTAACGCTTTTTAGCAAGATTGTTCTCTACGGAATAGAGTTGCTGACCCCATACCTAACCCTCCTCCTTTACCCGGGATTGCGATCAGCAGTAGCTCTAGAGGAGGTACAGGAGGACCTAGGATACATTTACATCTAGGAAATAGTCAGACTGTAATCCTCATCACTTTAAGTATGCGTCAACAGTCAAAAAGTATTGTGGTGAATATTTTATATGAGTATCTGTTAGTTGTAATAAATTCCATAAGTTTTATTCACCTCTGTTGGTTTGTCTACAGAAGGATTCTTGAAATGAAATTGAGTCATGAAATGTTCAATTCAGATGGGAAATCTTGTAAAAAATGGTGATAAACTTATTACTTGAACGATAACATTTCATTCTGGTTACTTTTTCCAGAAACATCGATTTCATTTACTTGGAAAAAAAGGTGTGGACTCTTTTAGGTTTGTTGAAGATCCAATTTGCTATTTTTGCACTCTATTTCTAATATGATAGAAATGAAAAGTGAATGCTTAATTACACTTATTTCCTGAGTCTACTAATTCTTCCACTTAACAGTAGAGATATTCTCTCCCAAACGAATTGGAAAAAAGAATTGTCTACTTTCATAGTTCATTCTCTCCCAAACGAATTGGAAAAGAGAATTGTCTACTTTCATAGTTCATTCTCTCCCAAACGAATTGGAAAAGAGAATTGTTTACTTTCATAGTTCATTGCAATTATCATGAAATATAATTAAAACTTTTAATTTCTTTCAACATATAAATGCAATGAGATGTGTAGGATTTTTATGCTGTTTAGGTGAAGTTGTCGATTGAGAAACCAATTTGAAACAGACTTAATCTTTATTTTAATCCGAGATAAAGGTTCAAAACAGTTGATTGATGCAAAGTAAAATAAATATCTACTCAGGATCTTACTCCAAGGTGTTTGAATAAGAAGTTTAATAATCGTATACTTTGTGAACACAGGTCACTCAATCAAGGCAGACTCTGCGTTCAAAGTCATCTACAAGGTAAGTAGAAGTTTTTCAATGGAAGTCAAATTGCATTTTCTTAACATTGTCGAATCGATAGCTATACATTTGAGAACAGCAGAATCGTGTGTCCAAAAGAGATTGGAACAGCTTCTTCTTCTACCATGTTTTTAATATCCCATACTCTTGTTCCTGTATAACCATTTGCTTCCCCTTCGATCTTCCCCTTAAACCTTCTACCCCCAACTGTTTCTATGGTCGTCTTGATTACATTGAATCTCAATTTCAACATTTTGTCTTATCATGCTGAGCTATGATAATTTCCGTATTTGTCTTTTGATGAATACTTAGGTCATTAACAATCAAACGATTATTAGTTTCCCTGTTTAAAACTTTTTTTTTAATACCTCTGTTTATTCTACCTCACTGTCACCATGTCTAACGGAAGTTTACTTACATTATTATTGTAATTATCATCCTGACAAATAAGTACATATATTTGCGATTGTACTGCCTTCGAAAAAATGAATTCTCCAAAAAAGAAAACTCTTCACTGAACCAATCTTTCTTATTTAATATTTAAGAATCATCGAACAACATAGTAGTGAACATGACACTACGATTTGTGTAAAACGATAGTTTATTTCGACATTATTAAATATCAAAAAAATGTACATGTGATCATTGAAATAAGTAATGTTATCTAATTTTATTTATATTAAATTTACAATAGGCCCTAGACTTAGTAAAATATAAATATGTAACATTGATTAGTCAATGAATATTTTAATCATGAATAAGATTTCTAGGTGAACTCATATTTCAAGAGGTAAGATATCTCAGTATTTTCATAGTTGAAATCATTAGTTATTAGTTGAGTGCTCGCGCGCGAGACTGGTAGGTCCTGGGTTGGAATCTCGAGAGTGCGGGATCGTGGATGCGCACTGCTGAGGATTCCCATATTAGGACGAAACGGCGGTTCAGTGATTCCAGGTTTTCGATGGTGGTCTAGCTTCAATTGACTCATGATTTCAACTATGAAAATTTATTTATCAGTCAGAAAATGTAAGACATAATTCGTCTGCAAACTATATAGTCGATTTAATATAGTATGTTTAATAAAGTAAGACTACACTATGAGTAGATGAGTTATATCATAACAGTATCTTTCTAAACTGTTTCGTCACTCATTTATTCGTTAAGACCTACTATAAAAGAGTAATAAAAGGTTGTCATAAACAAATTGGAAGATATATAAATAAAAGATAATCGGGATATTCAATGTGAATCGCACCGCGATGGATGACAAATTAATATTACTGTGATGTGATTTGCATAGTTTTTCTTCCTAAAATCTTTACTTTATAATCATCCAATCTGCCTATTATGGTTTTTATTGTCCATAAATAAATCACTTAGCAATTGAATGTGAGAACAGATTGTTCAAAGCGTATATCCTAACAAAACACGTACTTCTGAAAAACTCCATTTTCGTATTGCACTATCTAGATTGAAGTAAAGTTCTCAAAACATCCAGTAATTAATCACTTCTGACAGAAAATACTTCTTTTGATTCCATCTAGACTACAATGCACAGTAGTGTGCGAATACAATTATTCTGAAAAAGGATGGCTAGACGATATCACTAAAATGTATTCCTCAATTAAAATATACATGGAAACTTCTTGATCTTACGATATTCAATAAAAAAAAGTGACTTTTCAGTTTCCCAAAGTTATTTGTATTTACTTAAATAAAGTATTTAACAAGTATTTAGCAAGATCTAATGTCACGTTAAAAATCATCAGGTAACGTTTTCAAAGTTTCAGTCAGACATCACCTCCGGTTAAGTTAACTTCATAAGATTAAGAGTGTAATGCATAATACCGTTGATTATTTGTAGCGTCGTATAAGCATTCGATCAGAACAAGTGAACTTGGTTCATTATTAATGATTCAAATGCATCGTACTAGCGATGTGTGATGTGGTAGATGATCACTGTCTAAAAGTTTAATATTGAAATACACAGTGGTTCATTGCTCCTGATTTTTCACAATTTTTCAGTTTATATTATTAATATTTTATGATGTCATTTATTCTCAATTGGATTGAAAATTTCAGCTAATATCTGGTGACATAGTTTTTCACATAAACCATCAAACAAATGGAAAATGGTTTAGCAAACTCCTATCTTAACCAGATTAAACTATCAGGATGACACCGAAGAATATTTGAGCTCTTCAATGTTTTTTCCATAGTTGAAATCATGAGTCAATTGAAGCTAGACCATCATGGAAAACCTGGAAGCACTGAAGGGCCGTTTCGTCTTACTACGGGACTCCTCAGCAGTGCGCATCCACGATCCCGAACTCTTCAATGTTTTATCATCTCAATAAAATGTTGTTTTTAATACAATAAATTGCTAAATAAAAAATTAATTAATTTACTTATTTTAACCAATCAGATATTTACTATTTCCATTCTTAATTATGATTGGTTGATTTGCTTTTTATCAATGTATATTTAATGTTAAATATTGTTTAATGTTACGAAGTATTGTGCATTACAAGAACATTAAATAATCCAATCTATGTAAGTTATACCAAAAAAGTGTTGATATTTTACAATAGACTATTAATATAATGGTTTGTTGGGTTAAAATATAAGTTGGAAACGTGGGTCGATTGATGCTAGACCACCAGGGAAAACCTGGAAGCACTGGACGGCCGTTTCGTTTTATTGTGAGACTCCTCAGAGAGAGACTGGTAGGCCCGGAGTTCGAATCTCTCGAGGCAAGGTCGTGGATGCGCACTGCTGAGGAGTCCCACAATGGGACGAAACGACTGTCCAGTGCTTCCAGGTTTTCCAAGGTGGTCTAGCTTCAACTGACTCATGATTTCAATTATGAAAATACTAAATCTTCACAAAAAAACCTCTTCTAATTATAAAACTTAAGTGTTTGATTCTTTAAATGCATTTGATAAATCGATTGATATTTGATTCTTTAAGATCATTATTTACCTTTATAAATGATAAAAGATGTTGGAAAGCTAGTGAATACTCACTTCACATAAAACAATCAATGATTTAGAGTTGTTTACTGAAAGCTAATGAACTTCCATATTTTATGCTATTAATAGATGTCTAAATAAAATGAATGGATGAATGTATTCATCCGTAAAATTAGGTTTTGTTTAAAGTATAACAATTAATTTAGTTTGTATTGAATAAATTTCCGTCTTCAGATTTGATTCTTTCTTATTTTCTGACTGGTTTTGAATTCGATTTCATACTTGATTAATTGAATTGTGTTCCACTATGGTGTCAAGACAATATCATTTGTTATGAATTTAGTCAGTTTGCAACCAATGAAAAAATTGAAACTGAACTAATTCACATTGCTTACTTAAGTCATATTGGTTTTTGTTTCTCAAAAAATCATCATGGATTATATGAATAAAAACCGTAGTTTTACATTCTTCCTCTACAAGATAAAGTTAGCCGACATCTTAGCTCTTGTAGCATCAAGAAATAAGTCGGTTGTTTCATCGTAATATCAGATTAATACAGTAGGATATTTACTAGTTCTATGATTTTCCGTGAAGTCTAGTACTCATCAATTATCATTTGTTCTGTTTATTCACAACAGAATTCAACCAAACTAAATATTATGGGTTCATCATGTATGGTTAAGAATGTTAACTCTTAAATTAATGAGTTAACCTATTAGCTATTTAAAATGCTATTTTCTCGTTATACTGCCTGATACATTTTAAGTATTGGAAGAAGATAACACAAGATTCCTGTTCAGCTGTCTAAAATTATCCTACCGCCTGCAGGAATTGAAGATCTGTGATCTGATTCTCTCTAAGGTTATTGATTTGCATAAATATGAACTGTGTAAAAGTTAATAAACCTCCCATAACTTTGAAACTTCTGTTTATTATGACTGTGAAACTAGTAACCATCCTAATCATCAGACAGAAAGGAGTCTATTCGAAAGAAAATTCAACTACCTAACTATTTGGTAATATTTGATTTCTGAATTAGTTAATTTCCTCTATATTTGACTCCGATAAATAGTATCCCGTTAACGCATGTTAAATCTCCTACTGGAATGATGAATTTACTCGAGATTTATTCAAAAGCTCGAACACCAGTTATAGAGATAATTTATTGTTACAGATTAGTAAAATCCGCAAGCGTGCAGAAAGCAAGCACACAGGGAAACAAGTGAGTATATGTGTGAGTGTTAAAAATCCATATATTATCAATGTTAATTGATTGTGGATAAATTATTGATTGTCTTTGTTTACAACCAATGAGAGAATAGATTGAAGATTGATGCGCAGACAAGTGCTCAATCAGATTCACACATAGTTTTGCATAGTGGATCAAGTATGCAAATTACAGTGAGTAGACAAATAATACAGTAGTTGAATGGGCTTACCACATATTCATTTGAGTGTTTCTGTCTTTATAATCTTAGTAGAAGAAAGAATAAATCTGATTGAAGATTGCCATCCAAGCCTTAAGAATATTGTACATGTTACGTAAATTGTAACCGTGTGAACTTTATGGTGGATATAAATATGGTATTTCTTTTCTATCACCATGACCTGTCAAATAATAAACTCCAACATGTAAGATAAAACAAATCTTAGCCATCAACTGACAAAAGTCTAGCATGATTCGAAAAAATAGTGATATTTATGAGATTCAAAATACCTTCAGTAAAATTGATTTGATGATGTATTGAGGTCCTTAGAAAGATCTAAGATACTCAGTACAGGATACATGTGACTTAAAGTATTTAAATATTGTACAGTTTGAAGTTAGTTTTCATCAAGATAATCGTAGAAAACCTATGATTAATTAAATAAACGTTTCTTTCCAACTTGTAAATTTCTAACAGCGTAAGAATTAAGATCTCATGATCTTCTAGTCTCATGACTAACGTAAAATCTAAATACTGCTTCATTGAAATATAGTAATTAGTACTTCTCGTTTTTGGTTCCAATCACAGTATACCTCGACCAGAGCCCATTATCACTAAAGACACCTATTCTCATCTATTTATGAAATGTGAATTCACTTAATATTGTTTGTTTGAATCTTCCCATTGATGTTTAGGACTGCAACTGGTCAGTTTCTTATTAGCCATATATGCATACTGTGCGTACTGGGTTCGAGTCTCAGAGTGAGCATCATCTCTGAGATGCAGGTACAATCAACTAATGAGTCCCAAATAGGACGAAACACGCGTTCTGGATTCCACTTCTAGCCACTATAAATCTTTGCTTATAATACTTGTAAACTAAGACAATATCGAGGCGATGCGCACAGTATGCACATATGCCAATTAGAGACTGACCAGTTGCAGTCCTAAACATCAATGGGAAGATTCAAACAAACAATAGTAAGTGAATTTAAGCTTCACCACATTGCACAAGCAAGTGGCTATCAGGACTCAATAGCTGAGTGGATAACGCGAAAGGTACTGGGTTCGAGTCACAGAATGAGCATCAACTCTGAGATACAGGTACATCCAGTTGATGAGTCCTAATTAGGACGAAACGCGCGTCAAACTGGATTCCACTATTAGCCACCATCAATCTTTACTTATAATATCTATAAAATTGTTAATGAATGAATAAAATACTCGTCGCTGTATCATTAAGGTTTTAATGTACCTTGAATATACACAAATTTAAATCAATTTTAATCCATACTGTTATTGAAACTTGAAAATAATACAAATAAACAAATAAAAAAAATTTTTTATTTTGTTTCCTGGTTGTTTATTCATTTACTATTCGTCCTTCATGAATTAAATACAATGAAAATGAATAATTTTTTTCCCAAATAGAATTTTGATTACAATCTTTGTTATTGTTATTAACTGGTGTACTTTGATAATTTCAAATAATACGTAATTAAAGGATAACAAAATATGCCTAGAATTGTTGTTCATTTTGCAAAGCGACCTTAATTGAATATTTGCGCTACCTATTGTTGTCATCTAGATATTTCAATAAGTTATCTAGTATATTTTTGTTTGTTTTAACACATCATTATGTCTATTAATCGCACAACCTATTCATGTGCGTTTATAAGCAGCTGACATCCTTTCGTTGTATAAATTACAGTAAAGTACAATCAGAGACATCGTAGTACCTGACAGAGAATAATATGCATTGAAAAGAATAAATATTATTAAAGATATTGATTTCTAAAATGCTAAAATCTGACTGGTAATCATTCAATTGTGTGAATAAAATCCATTAGTAATAGTAACGACAATAATAATAACAATATAGTTATGAGAACATAATGTGTAGTAGGAGAGGTTTCATCAAGGTAATTATGATAAAAAAGAATTCATATAAATCAGGGGACATGAATGTGGAGATTAAGAAAGATATAAAGACAAAAATAATTAGGGGGAAGAAAAAGAGTATCATAATATTCAATTCAGGTGTCCAGTGATCTAATCGACGGCCAAAGTAAACATAGGGACTAGATATATCTCTTCTGAATACATAAATTTGATTTTCTGGAGTTGATCCAAATAGCTTGAGCTACTTAAAGTGGCCGTAATCTATAAGTAGATTCATTGAAACTTGATACAAAACAGAAAAAGCTTACTGTTTTAATATGATTTTCACCATATCCCAAGTTAGAAAGAATGTCTCTGTTAATCGGTTTAGTGACTTATTTTCCAAACCATGCTGGTACATGTTCACGAACATACAAGGATAGCTTCACAGGAGAAGTTGAATTGATATACACACATAGAGGAGCCTAACATCAGTAACCTATCCTTGATTAGTTGTGTAAGTACTGGCTTGGTTGAGAAAATTATATATAAATTGGTGGTATAAAACGTTTTTTCAACAGATCTTTTGAGTCGAAGTATTAGTATGTCACTCGCTATTTCCCTTTTAAAATCCAGTTTCAGATAACGCGTTATTTTACAGATCATGTCACAGTTTCTTCCTATTTATTACCTTCTGATAGAAAAATTTCTGGCGAAATTATCTAGGTAGCCGTTATTTCTTGAAGTTTTCTTTAGTTTATCTATTTCTTTATCAACACTATCTTCAGAACATTATAGTTTGATTCTGTGGCTGAGACCCATAGACAATTATATTTTGTATTGAAAATGTGTAAATCTATGGAGACGGGTTTGTTGGCCTATCCATGTATTCTTTCTAAATACATTTCTTTTTATGGAACTGTCTATCCTCCTAGACAGTAGGATACCAAGGAAAACTATACTAATGTCGTTCCCTTCTTTGCTGATGAATTTAATAGCTAGCTAGACTTAATTGAAACAGTTCAACAGCTCTTGTTTGTCACTACTAACTAACTAATCAAAATATGAGGTGGGATTTTGAAAATTTCACTAGTTTTCTTTCAAACACTGAAATGCATGAAGAATTATAAAATGTATAGTACTTGTTCGTTCTCATCAAACCACATCATTATATCATTCTACCATGTACCTTATTATTCGAAATAAATCAAATTAATAACCAAAAAAAAATTCTATAATGACTTTCAAATGTCATGTCATGTGTCATATTGACATGAAAATCAGTGTAGTTACAAAATTCAATCTCATATTATTTTTTTTACAAGTTATTTTGATAGAAAGTCAATAAAAAAAGATGAAAAAAAGAAGAAGAAGATAGAAACAACCGGTAACTTCATATCAATATGAGATATATATGTATATATATTATGATTGAAATATTAGTTTACACTATATGTCAACATGTAATTAGAAAGATATACAGTATGAATTGCTTAGTTCTGACAACAATGAAAAGTTACTGACAAAATGTTAAACATCATAATGATGATGTATTTAATATGTTTAATAATAGATATCTTTTCATTATGAATAGTAAGGTAACTTTAACTCATCTGTGAAATAGAATGAGATTCCGGCTCAATGGTCCATCGGTTAAAGGCTCTGGCTCGAGACTGGTAGGTCCTAGGTTCGAATCATGCGAGTGAGGGATCGTGGATGTGTACTGCTGAAGAGTCACATAATAGGACGAAGCGGCCGTCCAGTGCTTCCAGCTTTTCGATGGCGGTCTAGCTTCAATTGACTCATGATTTCAACTTTGAAAAAGAGTGAGATTCTTTTTCTTCTTCTACTTCATCAAAAATCAATGTGTCATGAATAGAGATATGAATGAAATAGTTTCACAGTTGACCGATATTAAATCGAGTTAACATGAAAAAAAAAAAGAAAATGGAATTTATAAATTCAGTTGTAGAATATCTGATAATTTATATGAAATTAATGAAATGTTTTGGCTATAAAAATAATGAGAAGGGGTTTTGTGAAGATTTCAGTATTTTCATAGTTTTTATCAGGGTTCAATTGAAACTAGACCACCATGTGAGATATCAACTGATTGAACACAATTGGTGAATGGTTGCTCAAACTTTGTGGATTGGTTGAGGTTAAGTGCTCTGGCGCGTGACTGGTAGGTTCTGGGTTCGAATCTTGCGAAGCGGGATTGTGGATCGTGAGGAGTCTCACAATAGGACGAAATAGCCGTCCAGTGGTTCCAGGTTTTTCATGGTGGTCTAGCTTCAATTGACTCGTCATTTTAACTATCAATGTAAAAATATTTACAAAAACTGAATAACCTTTCATCATATTTATTGAATATTTTAATGATCAAGTGTTTTGAATTGTCGAGTGGTTTTTGAAATACTTCGGCTTGAAACAAAGATGCACAAGTGTGTTGATGAACCATAATTAATTATATGTTCTTTATGAACAGAGTATGTACGTGTATATTATCTAACATTAACTAAATTCAACGAGATACGTATCAATTCATGTATCCAAATTCATATGACTTTTTATGAAGATGGTGATTGTCTTAGATTAAATCCAGGAAAAATGATCACTTTAAGCGAGAAATATAAGGAACTAGACTTTGTAATGAATGTTTACAAGACAATTTTTATATAACAATATAGTTGATTCCTTTGATTATTACCAATTTGGAACCTAAATGATTTCTTCGTATATTACCTAAAATAGAAAAGTATTCAAGTCTTCTTGGATTCCTGTTCCACACTGTATAGTAGAAAAACGATTTATAAAGGGTCTGATCGAACTAAAGTTTATATTTTTGACTTTTTTGATTCAAAAAAGAAGTGCTAAAATTTGTTGACACGTGAGAAGAACTATTCTCATATCAATATGTTTCGAAATGGTTAAGAAGGATTTCAATTGCTATGTTCATAGAATTTCAGTCAACTGATCTGATGACTCTATATTTCTTACGTTGTCTAGATTCATAGGTAAGAAGTGATGTAAAGAATTTAAACAAAAATTCTGGACGGACAGATCAATTCACGACAAAATGGATTTTCTAGTTTCGAGAATCACTTTCATAACATGAATTATTACTTATTTTAGTTAACAGTCAGAAATCGTGCTGAGGCACGTATTTGGATAAAACAATAAAGTAAAAGCTTTTCCACTATGTTTCAGTGTAATGAAACAAATGTATATATATATGCTTAAGACTGAAACTGGTCAGTCTCTTATTGGCCATATGTGCATACTGTGCGTATTACCTCGATATTGCTTTAATTCACTGGCATTATCAGCAAAGATGGATAGTGGTTAGCAGTGGAATCCAGGACGCGTGTTTCGTCCTATAACGCGATGGCGTTTGAAGCGAAAGGTACTGAGTTCGAGCCCCAGAGTGAACACCAACTCTGCGATGAAAGTACATCTAGCTAACGAGTCCCAAATAGGATGAAACGCGCGTCCTTGATTCCACTGCTAGCCACTATCCATCTTTGGTTATAAATATACATATGTAATTAATTTTATAAAATGTTTAATAAATTAATTGTTTCCCTAATATTTCAATAGATAATGACTTATCAATGGTTAATTGGTATACAAATATCCTTGTTATTTGTTAACTGCATATGTAATGCGTCAGGTAAGTGAATAGTTGCATATTTCGAATTAGTTTTATACTTAATTATCAGTAGTTTTCCGTATAAATTGGGTAATATTTTTATACATCCGTATGGTAAATGAGACCAGAATTAGGAGAGATTAATTATAATTCGGTACACAAGCTGAAAATATTTTCTTATACAAACTGTATATCGGGATTACAACCAATAGGCTATTTTCTGAAATAAATTCTACTGAGAATGTGGAGAAGATTTGTAGCTCAGGTTGATGATTTTGATGAAGTTCTGTTCTCTGAGATGGATGGTTCAGTCGTGGAGCTTTCATCGTTATTCTGAACGAAAACATCAGCACAAACGTCAGGTGGAAGTTAATGATATCGTTCAGAATAACAATGGAAGCTTCATGACCAAACCATCCAGCTCAGAGAACAAAACTCTATCAAGGATAAATTCTGCTGTTTCCAATCAAATATATCATTTTCAGATGATTTAAAATCCCATCACATGACTAACCGTACATCAGTTATCTTTTTATTTGACACATCTGCAGCTTTCGTTAGTTAGAAAAAATAATATAATCTATAGAATTAGTCAAGAATCATTAAGCATTTTTAGAAGGGTACGAAAACTCTAAAGTAACTAAAATAATCTATGCATAACTTGCCTGTTTCACATGGGTTTTTAAGTTGACACTAATCTGTAGGGAGAACCCAGTTGAAATATTGCTGTTTTAAAGATATAAAAAAATAGTACTTAGATTAAGCATAAAAAGTGTCATTGAAACATCTTAAATATAAATAAACCCAAAAATTTAATAATGAGAAAAAATTTTCTGAGGTTGCCTTCAAATGACCTGGTAAGGCCGAGATTAGGGATGGTTAGCTTTCCCTCTCGAAATGCTTTCACTCAACCACGCGTATACAGCCACTGCAAGGAAAGTCCTACTCACTGCCATCTCGTGAGCTGGGTGTTGATAACGAAATTGAGAGGACAAAAACAAATGTGCGGCGCTCTGAACGGGTTGGTGTACACGGAAAGTCTACCTAGTGGAGTTGGAAAACCTTGATTCCAAACCAATAGTGGATATGGACTCAATTATTCTTAAGGAACAAATGGCGTATGAACCAATTATTGGCCACTGAGTAACATAGGAGTGCATCTCCTTACGATGCTCCTTGCCTCGTAGATCACACCTTTAGACTGAAGGCTCGGTGTGTGGCACCCTAAGAAAACCACCTGCTTCGATCTGAGCTCCTAAACAGTATCTTGACTCACACATAAATCACGTGACTTGTATGGCGCATATGTATTCAATGCCTCTTTGTACCAATATTCATTTGTTCAAATAAATAAAATAAACAAATGTTATTGGAATAATTGAGCTTAATATTCCCCATTTTCACATTTCCTGGGAAACTTTCGTGTGACACAAGTAATTTTATAATATAGAAATGAAAACTAATGAAATTGTTATTCAGATTAATCATGACAGTTTGTAAATTATTAAACATCAAATTGTAGGATTAAATTTTCCAGTTAACAAAATGTTGTCAGTTATATTCCAATTACTGCCTAGTTTTAATTATGTAAATGTATTCTGCACATATTATACTTACTGTGAATAAAGCCAATTAGGGTTAAACTTAAGTTCCACATTAATTAGAGTTCTAATCAGTTTAAATAGTTAATCTATGAATACAATTATGGATACATGTCAGTTGTGGGTTTCTGTAAACAAGAAGTAAAACGATGAAGAAGCATTGTGATAAATAATTTCCTCTCCTTTTTTCCTCATTCTTTACTTATCCTCCTTACTTCGTGTCATCTAAATCAATTATCGTTTATGTTAGTTACCAATTTCCAGTTAATTTCTGGTTAGTTATTAACAATGTAAATCCGGAAAACTGAAAGAAATCATGATGAATTTCAATATAACCGTGATATTTATTTATCAAAGCTCGATCTATTTAGTGGTAAAAATTAAACAGTATTATCAGCAACATGCTTTTTGAATGTGTGTTAATATTCAAGGAAGCATGCGGTGATTGAAATGAACTAAAGTGGGATTCGTTATAAGTGGTAAATTAGAGACGGTAATAATGAAAATAAGAAACAAACATGAATTGGGTCAAATGAAAAAAATGTCACGTCTAGATAAGACGTATTTAGTAGTTGAAATCATAAGTCAATTGAAGCTAGACCACCATGGAAAACTTGGAAGCACTAGACGGCTGTTTCGTCCTATTATGGGACTCCTCAGCAGTGCACATCCCACCTCTCGAGATTCGAACCCAGGACTTATCTGTCTCACTCGCAAGCGCTTAACCTCTAGATCACTGAGCCGGCATTCAACTAACCCCCTTCTGAGTTATTTGATAGTAAGGGGTCACCTTTGTACTGGTTTAACGAATCAAAGTGGCTACCAAGAAAATAAAGCAATAGGGTAAAGGAATTAAAGAAAATTGGAAGGGAATATAGTACTCTGTAGGAAAACGTTCTCTAGTGTCTATGCCTCTTCTTTACATTTTTTCATTATCTAGCATATAAAGTTTATATAGCTTTTTAATTATTAACTGCCTGTGTAATCATAAAAAAATTTATTTTTTTTAATTGTTGTAAATCCTTTTTGGGGGAAATTTTCCAACAGAATGGTCTTATACAAATATATTAACTGGACCAGAAACATGGCATGAACATTATAAAAATATGTGTTCAGGTTATTATCAATCACCAATTGATTTGAAGACAGATATATCTACACTTGATTTAAAATTAAAAACTGTGATAATTTATCGAAACACATCATCTACTGAAACTACTACAATTCAAAATAATGGTCACTCAGGTGAGTTCATGATTTTTTTCTTTTTTTTTCTGTTGAATTACTTTTTTTCCCAGTGAGTTGATATCTCCAAACAGACCTAGTTGAACTCCACTGGTTACTGCTTCTCACTAGAACTCCAGGAAATATTTCACGGAGCCAGTTACTAGTGAGCATATGATCATTATCAAAAGGGGGTTTTGTGGAGATTTTAGTAATTTTTATATAGTTGAAATCATGAGTTAATTGAAGCTAGACCCCCATGGAAAACCTGGAAGCACTGGACTGCCGTTTCGTCCTATTATGGGACTCCTCAGTAGTGCGCATCCACGATACCGCTCTCGCGAGATTCGAACGCATAATAGGACGAAACGGCCGACCAGTGCTTCCAGGTTTTTCATGGTGGTCTAGCTTCAATCGACTCATGATTTCAACTTTGAAAAATACTGAAATCTCCACAAAACCCCTTCTGATTATAGTAGATAGTTGTTTTAAATTAGACTAATAAGGTAGTTAAACAAGTTTGTACAAGGGGAAAATACTACAGATATGCCAAATTATATTTACCCTTGTTCTCAAGTTTCCACACTCCTTTTCATAGGTGGTGTCTTCTTTGTTATTTTTTAACATTATTGAATAAAAAATTCCAAGTGTTGATGTTTGTAAAAATATAAACAACATTTGATTTTTTTGGTGGAATTACATTCAGTGCAGACGGTTAGGTAAAGTATTTCTGTTCCCGATAATACTACACAAACATTTTAACAGTAGTGTGAATATTCAAAGTGTACGTCGTACAAAGGTTAATTCGAAACTCGCTATTCCAGGTATAACATTGATTATACTGATATATAAACCCTAACAGTCTTTATAAACAGTATAAACATGAATTGTGTAATGTTTCTATGGAAGTTTACTGCTCATACACTTTATTGTCATAATAATTTGTTGGCTAGACTGATAAATCATATAATTACTGAAAAAACGTATTATTTTCTCCAATTTTAATTCATTCTAAATTAAGTAGTAAGTTTTAGTAGTTTCTGAATAGAACATCTTGCTATCAGTATACAATTATTGTTTAGTAGTAATGGTCGGAATAGTCTAACATTACTAAATATATAGATTTTCTTTCGGAAAGTCAGTTATAGATTCATTATTTAACAATTTACAAAAATCCAATTATAGTGATGATTAGTTAGTAATTTTCTCTTTATATATAATGATTAGGAACAGATATATTCGGTCACTTAGTAGAATGGTATTGAACATATTTGTCCGGTGATTAGATCGATGCTTGTATAATGAAAGTCAGAGCGGCTTATGCCAATCTGGGCCATCTTTGGCGCCTTCGTGATGTTAGTCTGGCTGTAAAAGGTCGGATCTACAACGCGTCGGTGAGAGCAGTTTTGCTCTATGCTTGTGAAACCTGGCCTCTCCAAGATGAGAATGTTAGACGATTCTCTGTGTTCGATCATCGTTGTCTTCGAAGGATTGCTGACATCCAGTTGTAACACCATGTTAGTAATGCAGAGGCTCGGCATCGTGTGTTCTGGCGCAGAGACGATAATTCAATTGGTGTCACCATCTTGAAACACTGACTTCGGTGGCTTGGACATGTTCTACGAATGTCGTCCCAGAGAATTCCACGTCGTGCATTATTTGCCGACTCTGGAACTGGTTGGGAAAAGCAGAGAGGTGGTGACATGGTGTCGTGGTATGAAAGAAAGCTACAAAGGGCTAGCTTCTGTTGGTCCTTCACGACTCTCTGGCTGGGATCCGAGAGATGGTGCAACACAGTGGCTAGAGACGTTATCAGATTTGGCTCAGAATAGAAGCCAGTGGCTAGCCTGCTGTTACCTTCTTTAACTTTCTTCATAAAGAGTGGTTATAACTTTCTTAACTGCAAGGGTCTTCTGGTTGTACATTTCAGTTCCTCCCATCATTACTTTTCTCTTTTTTGTCATCCTATTTTTTTTCTTTTATATATACGCATCTTACCCCATTCTTTTCCCATTCTCATTGTTTTGTGTGGCGTATATTTATCTGGTGCCCCTTTGTACCATTATGCATGTGTTTAAATAAAAAAAATATTTATCTGGTAATTTAAATCAAATATGATCAACATCGGTTGGGTTGTTCGGTCATATTAACTCAGTTTACCAGTATTTATTAGTGCATATAATGCTGGAAAACATACGATTTATCGACTATGATTTGTGACTTATAAAATCATATATTTATCTCAATAATTCAGCTGAAGTTAAATTTCCACGAAACACTTGGTTTATATCGTTTGATGGCATGCTTGATTATAAATATGAAATCATACAAATGCATTTCCACTGGGGTAATACTGATGATCGTGGATCTGAGCATACAATTGATGGACTTAGATTTCCTTTAGAAGTAAGTCTGTAAATTATTGTCATTTAATATTAACTTTCTTCTTCGTACATAGCAAAACAATTAACAGTGAAGAGAGCAAATTATCGATGTTTTGAAATTGATAAGTTTTCAAGTAACACCCTTCACTGATGAACGATTTCAGGTGTGATCATATACCTCTAAGAACCACAGTGATGATCGTTCATGAAGATCTTATACATCAACCGAATAAAAACGAATATTTCTTTGTGTAAAATGATACAATTATGTAAAACTACTTAATCACAAAACAAACCTGATCAAAGTCTATTGACAATATAAACAAATAAAGGTTATGAGTAATTAGGTTTATTCACCAGCGAATAAACGCAAAATATGGCAACTAGCTTTAATTCTTATCAGTCATGTTTAAATATACTGTTTTTATTTTTAACACTAGCGACTATCCTATTGTAGGGACATATTGTATCGTTTCGAAGACAGATGTATTCTTCACCCAGTGAAGCTGTTGGTCGACCAGGCGGACTTGCTGTTCTTGGTATCATGCATCAAATTGTTGAATCAATAAAATATGAACAAACAGCGTTCAAGGCATATAACAATTTTTCTGGTGTACTGAATTCGCAATTCGTCCCTACAAATAATCCGACAATTAATGATACGAATTTAGAGCTACTTCTGAGCTTTTTGAATCCTAGTCGTTATTTTCGCTATTTGGGTTCACTAACAACTCCACCATGCACAGAAAATGTTCTTTGGACTATTTTTATAGATCCAGTGCCAATTACACGTGAACAGGTAATCATAATTCTACGTTCACCGAATAAATTCGAGGTTCTCTGTTTTTAAGTGAACCTGATAATACTTAATTGAAATAGATGTAATATTTGTGGTTTTATGCCATAAATTTATTGACATAAACTAATCACTAATCAATAATTAACGTCATTCTGTTAATCCAAAGTCTTTTGGACAATTTTTAATGTAGTCACTATTTTGAGTCACTCAACATTAGTATGTTTTTTTCTATGATGTTCAAGGTTGAGAGTAACCGATGGAGGTGCCAGAATCCTCATATTGTGATAGCCGATGCTCATTATTTAAGTTTATTCAAAATCATCTAAGAATCAGTGTAGTGATCTGTATTTATTACGTCTTTGGATTTGAAAACATCTCTGCGAAGCAGAAACATCTCACCAATAGTTGTATACTGATAAAGAGTTAAACATCAGCCACTATGGTGACTTACTTATGTCTTCCAATTTCAAATTAATTAGTCTAGATGATTAATTAAACGTACAACAAACTGAACTCCACTTCATAAACAAACATACACAAAGCATATCTAAAGCATTCAGCAAATATTCTATTGTTCAGTTGCATGAATAACGATGTTCCGAAATGGAAAGTGAAATCCTTACGAGAATGAGGATTCCTGTGAAGTATCAAATAAACTATAATTTATGATTAAATTCATTCAGTATTGTTTGTTGAATCTTCCCATCGATTTGTTAGGACTGCAACTGATCAGTCTCTTATTGGCATATGTGCATACTGTGCGTATTGCCTCGATATAGCCTAAATTCACAAGCATGGTGGGCAGAGATGGACAGTGGATAGCAGTAGAATCCAGGACGCGCGTCACTTCGTACTATTTGGGACTGGTCAGTTGGATGTACCAGCATTTCAGAGTAGATGTTTACTGTGGGACTCGAACGCAGTACCCTCGCTTCAAACGCCATCACGTTATCCACTATGACACTCGAATTCAGTATCAGGACTCAGTAGGTAAGTGGATAACGCGATGACGTTTGAAACGAACTGTAGTGGGTTCCAGTTCCGGAGTAATTTATATGTTCCAGACACATCCAACTAACGAGTCTCAAATGGGACGAAACGCGCATCTTGAATTTCACTGACAGCCACCATCCATCTTTGCTTATAATACTTGTAACTTAAGACAATATCAAGGCAATCCGAACAAGATGTATATATGCCAATAAGAGATTGATCAATTGCAGTTTTAAACATCAATGAGTCATCATTGAGTCATATCATTTAAAGCTTTCATCCGCTAATATCTGCTATTGTATAAACTCTAATTAGGAAAGTCTGCAGCTCTCAACTTATCCCAGTCACTAGCCTCATAGACTAATTCTAACTAGATCACAACTTATTTATGTGTTGTTTATCATTATTAATGAGTTATTAGAGGAATTTACACCTTACCATTGGCTAAATATGTAAACAAACTTCTCAATGTTTTATTAAAGTAGTATTTAGCAGTCTTTGAATAATATTTGTATTATATCTTGTTTCAGGTTAATCTATTTCGTAATTTACCTTATGGTTCCAATGAAAAACAAACTAGTATGGGTGATAATTTTCGTCCTATTCAACTATTAAATCCAATAGATACACTTGCATCACGTACTCTATATCGAGCCACAGCATCAAGTCTTTCATTATTATCTTTACCAGGTATATTATGTATCATGATGACCAGTCAACTTAGTGTGATATTTTTATAATTAATTTAACTCAAAAAAACATTTATGCCCGAAATATTTAGCTACATCTGCTAGACCGAAATTCTTATCCTTCCAGTCTTTGAATGAAAAGAAGAAAAATAAATATTTGCCATTACTACTTTATAGAGTCAATTTTCTCTTTTTTTTTATATTTTCTTATTTGTTTTGTAAATAAGTAGTTGTGATTGAACATTCTGATGTGCTTGATTTCACGTCAAAATGTTTTCCTTTATTATTATATATTATGGATTACACATAACATGTAAGAGTTCCTTGATTAATTACCTCAGTACTTATTGTTTACTTATTCTAGCTCTTCATTAGTTTATTTCTACTTTCCTCTTCAAGATTGGAAATTATGTATTCATGATTTATTCAACGTAATCAATCATCAGTGAATAAAAAAAGATATTTAATCTAAGGATTTTATTTTGTTGAGAGCTCCCAAATGCCCTGAAACGGCCGAGAGTGGAGAGAGTCCGTTCTCCCTCTCGAAATGCTCTCACATAGCCTCTGTCAGGGAATTCCTACTCATTACCTTCTCGTGGTATTACTGTTGTTTACGAAATTGAGAAGATGAAAAGCGATTATCCGACGCTTTAACCGGGTTGGTGGACACAGAAAGTCCACCTAGGGGAATTGGAAAACCCTGATTACAAATCAGTGGTTCACATGAACTCTAGCATCTTGAAAGCAAAAAGGTGCATGAACTTAGTCTTGAGTACCGGCTACCGTGAGACTGCATCTGCTTATGATACTTCACTGCCTTGTGGATCAGACCTTTAGGTCAAAGGCTCCGGGTGTGGCCCCCTAAGAAAACCACCTGCTTCAGTTTGAGAGCACGGGCAGTATCACAGCCCTCACATACAAATCTCATTTTGTTTGTGTGGCACATATGTATCTGGTGCCTCCTTGTACCAATATTTATGTGTTTAAATAAAAAATATTTAATAAAAAATTTTGTTGAGTCTATGTAATTTTCTGAGTATTTGTTCTGAAATTCATCATTCTTTTTACCTGAAATTTGATTACTAAGCATAATGTAAGTCAATAAAATAAGTAGGAGGAAAGTATATTTGTTGCAAGAAGCTACGAAGTATTTACATAATAAATATGCATAGCATTCAATCGTCCATTTGCAACTTTCGGTGTGTTCTACAATCTGAATTGTCTTCTCAACTGACCTTGAATTGTCTGCCAAAACCGGGATTTTGGTGCACTGAAACTTTTCACTCCGCCTGAAAAGTATGATCAACTTTGATGTTACTTTCCGCTAGACTACTTGAAAGCAACCTTCTGAGTAGGGTCCACTACAATATAATGTAAAATATAAAATGCGATAAATTTGCTGAGAGCGTATAAAGTAAAAATTGTCTAAATGAAAATCATATTTTTAACGAATTGGCAAAGGAAGTTCTGAAGAGCTGTACTGTTATAATTTCAGTCTTTTTACTAGTAATGTACACATAGGGAATAAAATTGGATTTACTCAAGAACCTTCACATTACGTGGTAATAATGACACTTTTATAACTATTCGTTCAAATTTGCTTTTTTAGATCTCCGAACCCAGTTGATTTGCTATGTAAGTCTTATAACTTACTACCTTGCGAGATCATCCCCATGGGAAATCCAAGACTTTTGAATGAAGTTGTGAGCGTGGATCGTTGAATTTCATCTAAGTGATTTGAAAATATTTTGATCTCCGAGACACCTAAAGGACCCTAGATTGATTTCATTTAGGATCATGGATGCTCACTTGTACAGAAGAAGGCCATATTAGGAGGATAAAAATATCTGGTTGTCTTTAATTTGATACGGTTTTTCATTAAATTTCAGACAATCAAGAAAGTCAGCTTCATATTGTTTCTGAAATCCGTCATTATATGACAGGTTGAGAAGTTGTGAAACAAATTAAACTTGTAGATAACCTCAATAAACAACTTCATTGTTGACGGTAGACTTCAAGTATGAAAGCTCTCACTTTGCACAAGTTTGCACAAGTGTTTCGGAGAACAAGGTTTTGAACATGCTCACTATATTGAAGGGAACTCAATGTTATCATCTATCGTTTGAGTTTCTGTATAAAAATAATTTTATCCACAGGTTTTACTGATGACCCTATTTTATGCCCAGTGAGCATATGATCCTCGTTTCACTTTACTTCAGGCAATGATTCTTGCTGCATTTTAGCCAAAACTTTAAGTGTTATCACGAACTGAAATTATCGCCAAAACACATCAACAACTCTACATAAAGTCTTGCCGGTGAGTCTGGGATTGATCATACTAATTTTAGACTATCTAATAGGAATCAGTCAAATCACAGTTATAAAGTCATTCATTCCGCAACCGCCTTTGCAATCAGTGTTACTTCATTTAAGTATTTCATTTAAAGTTTACTGTTCTTATGATTTATCTGAAGTGCCATAGTTAGGGATTAACAGAGAAATAGAATACTTATAGGTATTCGTTGGTTTTAAATATATTATAAAACTGCTTGTAAAATATAAAACCTTTATATTAACGTATAAAGGTTATGAAGAAACAATAAGCATTTCAAAGCGACAGATAGTGAACATACAAACTATGAGATAAGCATAAGAACCACTGAAAGACGTTATGTACTAATCAACCATTTTATTTAAGTATGAGTCTTCTAAGTGGTAGTATTCATCAGCGATTCTGAAGACGCTGTTTGAGATTCTAATTTCGGAATACTTCGTCATCTCAATTCACTCAAACCCAACATATAATTGATTTGTCGCTTATTGCTACTGAAGAACGAGTTGACCTGTTATCGTATCACTATTCAAATCATCCGATGAATTCCAAGGTCATTTACAGAAGACATAAGTTTGATTTGCTCTGCATATTTTCGAGTTATTCAAGCAGCATTAGTAGGATGGTACATACATTTTCTATGTATTACAGACGAGTTTCATTGGACCACAATTACAGAAGTAAAAGAGTATGTCGTTTCGTCCTATTTGGGACTCGTCAGCCGGATGTACCTGTATCTCAGAGTTGATGTTCACTCTGGGACTCGAACCCAGTACCCTCGCTTCAAACGCCATCGCGTTATCCACTCGGCCACTGAGTCCTGATAGCCACTTGCTTGTGCGACGGGGTGAAGTTTGAATTCACTTAGTATTGTTTGTTTGGATTAATTAGAATATTCAAACAACCAATTCAAATGCGAACGAAAGTATCATTGCTCAAAACAAAAACAATATCGACGGAGTTTTGATACTATATTAATTGTTGCTTTTGTTTGAAATTAAAATCTAGTATGTATGCATGATGAATGAAAATATGATAAACCAATTTGGAACGTTTACTGATTGAAATTAGAATTATTTAAAATAAATAAATTTCAACTTCAATTAAATTAACATTCAATAGTCTCTCTATGTTGACCTTTTGAACTATCTTTCGAAAATTCACTCATAGAACTATCGGCATAGTCAAAACGTCATGCCACTGGTTCTCGCTCACATGTTACGTGTTGTCGCGGATTTGTGATGTCGTTATTTATCAGCTATTCACAGCATTTTTCCGTCACATGTCAATTTTCGTAATGTTTGTGCTTGTGACCCAAACAAATTTTAAACAAGGACATTGAGGTTCAGTAGGGTATTTGGTATCCCAGGTCAAGTTACGAAGCAACAATACAGCCAAATTGTACACTACAAAAGACAGAAAGCTAAATTAACACTTTTCGCATCGATTTCGTGAATTTACTGCAGCAAAATACGACCTAAATATGAGAAAACATGATATTCGTGCAATCCAACGGACACCGAACAGACCATCAACAACTCAAATACGGAATGACCGCCTCTTGTCAGGCCGTTCAAGGTCGCTAAAACGGAACGGCTGGCGGCTTTGAAAACCGCTGACTTTTTTACCGTGCCAGAAGTATTCTTAACTTACCATCTTGACCTTCAAAATTACAGATGACTGATTGGCTATCTTGCATAGAGTTTTCCCTTGAACTTTCAACACTATACTTTAAAAATGTTTACAAAATAATAATAATCGGTATTTTAACAATTATTCAGTGAAAATAAAAATTTAGTATACATTACATCATGGAAACTAAAATGTAGTTCTAGAATCGCTCGTGTGATCTTGACGGAATTTCAACTAATCTCTATTAGCATACATAGATCATGTGCGGACTGTCTCGATATTTCCATTTTTCATAAACTTTCATAGAATAGATGAATTTTTAGCTGATAGGGAAAGTGAGGACTCGCTTTTCGACCCAGTTGAGATTAGATACACTTGCATCAAGTATCGATATTAACATCATGAATTGAAATTAGCATCTTTAGCCTCAAACGTCCAACATGTTATTTACTCAGCTATTGAATCTAGAAAGCCGCTCAAATATTATATTTATATCATGATTGGAAAGGATTTCAGCTTTTCCGTTGCTGACAATCCTGACGGGATTCCAGTAGGTCTTTTTATTGAAATATTTGCACGCTAAGAAGATAACACGTTATGCGTTTGAAGCGAAATATACTGTCTAACAGTCTTGGTGTAAAAGTGAGCACTGACATCCAGATTCACTTAGCTAACTAGTATGGTATAGAACTTTTCGCTTATACACAAATGCTCAAAAGCAAATGATTACTCTCTACATTTATGATTTTACTTGATATGTTACTAAGTATGTGAAAAAAAGGTTTTGGTGAAATCCGGCAACAATACGAAAAACTTCTATTTTTCAGTCAACGAGTAAACTCAATAATATATGAATAGGATTGATAGACTGATTTTTCCACACTGACACATTTATGCCAGTTATATTTCGTCCGAATACAATGTATTCCATATACAATATAGATTGAATAACATGTTACTAGACATTTGATAAGCAGAGTACCAAGAATAAATCAGCTTGATAACAAAACAACCTATTGTAACAAAAAATGTTATCTTTCAGGGTAAAATGTATTTCCAGTTTCCAAGCTGACATGTTCCACATTATTATATCAGGAAAGGAAATCAAGAAAACGGTACATAAGAAAGTCGGAATAATAAGGACAAATGCATTGAGAAAACAAACACAATAATTATGTTCATAAAGGGATGAATGGGATTGTCTAGGATGAAAAAATATGAACTGACTATATGATTTCGGGAATGCAGCTAAATCACCAAGATTGATTTTCAGATTTTGTCTCTGAACATCCTTAAATTAAAACTTATGATTATGAAGTAAAACCAATGAAGGAATTCCATGACTTCACAAATTATTTAAAACAATATTAAGTGACTTCATCAGAATAGTATCGGCTTGGTTCGATAACTTGTAACTGTTTTCCCCGTGTAAACATACAAAATTCCATAAGTAAAAAAACTTAATTCATAATTTTTGATTTAAAGTCGAAATGATAAATTACTACA